GGCCCCACTCACCTTATCCCGCAGACTCTTACAGAAGGCCATGTCTGGGTCGGTGTCACTGCCTGAGAACACCTCCCTCTGGGGCAGCTCTGTCCTCAGGGTCTCACCACGGATCACGTATGCCTGGGATATATAGGGCACATTCCACACGCCCCTGGAGGCACCCACGCTGGGGTCAGATCAGTGGGTGGCCCTCTCCCCCAAATTCTGACCGGTTCAACCCAGGAACCCCTTCCTTCAGGGCACCCCACCCTCCAGGCCAAAAGGTCCAGTCGCTTCCCTGCTAAGCACTGCTAGTCACAACACCTCAGTCTGCTCCATAGTCAGCCCCAACTCTGCAGGGGTGGCACTTCTGACTGGTGGCCACTCTGGACCCCCGAGAGCAGGGAAACGGGGGAGCATGCAGGTGTTTATGGTCTCCTCCCCCAGGCCAGACAAAAGGGGGTTGCAGCCCTCCGGCAGGACTCACACTCGCTTCCGCTGTACCAGCTCCACATAGTCCTCCGAGCGAGCGTAGTACTCATCGGGGCTCAGGGCTCCCCAGAAGTTGGACCAAAGCTTCCCGTGGCGGGACAGCATGGGCGCTATCACCTTCCTGTGGACAGGCAGAGGTGAGCCCTGGGCCCCGGGAAGGAGGTGGGGGCTCCCAGGAGACTATTTGGGGGCCCTCTGGCTGAGCGGGGCAAGTGACCTGTTCTCTTCAATGAGGATGCGCAGTGTCTGTGGGTTGCTGATGACGGCATCAGCGTCCAGGCTGAAGTAGAATTCACACTCTGGGTCCTGCCGACAACTGTCCCTGGAGGTGATAGATCAATGAACACTTGAGCTGAAACGGGAGCAGGTTGGGGAAGGAAGGGACTGTGTGGTAAGTGGAAGAACTCCCCCACCTGTCGAGGAGAGCAAGAAAGTGGGTAGAAGCACCAGCAAGAGGAGAAGAGGAAGGCTGGGGGTTCTGGGGGGTGCTGTGCTTGCTTCCCCAGGACCCCAGGTTCTCCTGGCTGGGAGGGCGCCCCTGTGGAGGCCGAGCATAGGCTCCATGCTGCATGGAGCACCCCTTCACCCTTGCCCATCCTCCCCACCCAGTGCTCACTCACATGGCCATGTCCCTGGCCTCGCCTGGTGTCAGGGCCTCCTCTGGTCCCACCAGCTTCACAGCTGAGAAGTGGTCCTGGAGCTGGGGCCAGGAGTCTGCGATGTGGGGCTCATGGTACACCTCCTGGAGATGGGAGAGAGGGGTTAGAGAGGGTAGGAAAAATGGTGCCTGAGGGACAGGAGGGGGTAGGAGGTGGATGGAAAGGATGTAAGGAAGGAGTCCGGGTGGGGGTGGGGGGTGGGAGTTCCAGACCAGGTAGGGGCAGAGTTCCTTGGGAGGGTGCACAAGGGAGAGGCTGTCAGAGTGTCTCACGTTGTTATGCAGGAACAGGGTGACCCTGTCAGGGGGGTAGTCCAGGAGCAGCAGCCGCTGCAGGAAGCGGGGCAGGAATGGGGTAGGTTGTTCTACAAACACAGCCAGAAGCACCCGGGGGGGAGGCTGGAAGATACAACATGACGACATGACGGGGCTCAGAGGAGCCCAGGCCCCCAGACCAGTGTGTCCTCTACCACCCTGGCGGTTGGGAATCCCTAGGAGCTCCCCATGCACTGCTGCCCAGCAGGCTCTCCCTGTGCCCTCTGCCTTGATGCCTGGTCCTGCAGCACCCTGGCACCCCTCCTCACCTGCCCCCCCGGGAGTGTCCTCCGGTCCCGGCCACAGAACCCACAGCCTCCCTGAGGAGTCCAGCCATTAGGAACATAGTTTCCCAGATAATTCAGCTGGAGCTGTTGGGAGAGGCAGTAAGAGGTAGAAGCCAAGGAGTCCAGCAGCAGAGGTGAGGGAGGTCAGGTGGACAGGCAGGGGACAGGGCAGGAAGGGGAGAGATGGACACTTAGCACCTCTCCCAGCACCTCTGCTGCTGGTGGGGTTAGGGAGGACGGGCTTGGAAGGGCTAGAGGTAGGCAGGGGCAGGGGTGGAGGGTATAAGCCATTGGAGCACCTTAGTAGGACCATTCCCATGGACCACAACAGGAAGTGTGTCGTAGGCCACATTCCGGATCCGCACACGATTCCGATCAAACTTTAAAACCACCTCATCTGGGGAAGAAAGGCCTTGCTTTACACTCCTTTCCTCTCAAAGCTGCCAAGCAATGATGCTTCTAAGTATGGGATGCGGTTGGGTGGGGGAACCTGGGAGGGTTTCTCTAGAGGATGAAGGGCTGTGGCTCTAGGGTAGGGTTCTGTCTCTCTCCTGAGGGTTCTGACCAGGCTCTGGCCACCCTGGGGGAGTTCCTGGGTAAGTCACCAGTCCCTCAGAGAGGCACTTTCCTCCCTGTAACAGATGGTAAGCCCAGACCTTCCCTTTGAAGGGTTAAATAAAATGACAGAAGTAGAGCCCTTTGTTCTCACCTAAAGCCCCATTGAGGTTCTGAAAGATCCGAGATTTATGATCCAGATTGAGGCTGAGTTTTTCCTGGATGGGATGAGATGGGGCAGGTCACTATGGAGGGAGGTAGGCCAGCACTTCCCACTCCTTTTACATCCTCCCAAAAGCCCTACCCTCTCCTCTCCCCTTCAGCTCGAGGCTGGACAGCCCCCCTCCAGCCTTCCCTACCCTCAGCCCTGGGTCCAGGTAGAGCCGAGTATAGAACAGCTGGTCGTCATCGTCATCCTTGTACTTCCACTGGCGGACCACTTTGTGGATGGTGGGGGCAAAGCCAATGAATCCTGCAGGGGATGGGTGGGCAGGTGCTGACTCCAGGACTCTCAAGGCCCCAGGGCCCAGTCCCACTCCCTCTCTGGCCCTCAGCACCTGGAACGCTCCATATGCCCCTCCATATGCCCCACCACTCTTTTCCCTCTGCCTCGGGTGCTCTGCCACTCACCACCAGAGTTGAGGAAGCGCTTCCCCGTGCCCACCTCAGGGTACTGCTCGGCCAGCCCCCACTCGGGCCAGCAGAAGCCCTCAGCGGAGAAGAGCAGGCGACTGCCACTCTGAACGAACTTCTTCAGCAGCTCTGCGGGGCTGCCAGCCAGAATCACATCGTAGCTGGGCGAGGAAGAGGGCACGACAGGACAGCAGGAACCTCAGTATCCTGACCCCCGCTCTCTGCCTCCTGCCTGCCCCTTCTTCTCCTCCCCTTCAGCAGCCCCTTCTTCACCTGTCCACGAACATGATGACCATATCCTCCCGGTCTGCATATTTCTCCATCTCCTTCTTTAGCCACCTGACCTTCTGTCCTCCACCAACCGTTCGGGCCACATCACCCCCTCGCCACTCCTCTCCCAGGCCCAGGGTCTGTGGGGGGAGACCCGCCATGCCAGGGAGGGGCTCAGTCGGCCAGCCGGGCCCTCCCGACCAGGCTTACCGTGGGGCCCTGGCCATCCAGCCCTCGGCCCACCCCTGGGGTGGGGGGAAGGAGGGCATTCCTCTCACCCGCACAGTGTAGTTGAAGAACTCCGCCGACCACAGGAAACGCCGGTATCCTTCCGTCTCGGCCGTGGCCACCGTGATCACCAGCAGCTTCTCTGTCACCAGCCGGAATTGGTGCTCAGGACCCACTCACCCAGCTCACCGCCCACCCCCTTCGCCTCCCTACGACTCTGCTCCAGTCCTTCGCTTTTTTCCAATTCCTTCTTAAACTCGGCCCAACCAGGGGAACTCGGGCCCCAGTTGAGAGCGGATGGGAGTGACACCCAGGAATTCGGGGTCCGTTCACGTGGGGAGGCTGGAAATCCCGGCTCAGGGTGGGGAGTGGGCGAGGGCGCAGGGCGTGGAAGAGGCCGGCACCCCCTCCAGACCTCGACCCCCATCCCGGCCCCGCGGGCGGGCACGCAGACTTGGCACCACCCACTCGGCGTTCCCGGGGCTCTCACCTGGGTTGACCGGGTCGCCGCCCCGGGGACGGTCGGAGGCCGAGGTAGCAGGCGGCGGCGGCAGCAGCAGGAGGAGCCCCAGCAGGAGCCGTAGTCCCGGGCCGGAGGAGGCCATGGCCGGGAGCCGGCGCAGACGGCACACAGGCCCGCGGGGCGCTGGGGCTGTGCGCCCGGATCCCAACTCTGGGGAGGGGTTCTGGGCAGCGCCGCCGGGGCCGCAAGGCGGCCAGCCCCGAGGAGGAGCGGGGCTTGGGCGCCGCCCTGGAAAAAAAGGCGTAGCCCGAGGCTACTGAAAACTCGAGAGCCGGCGCCGCAGACAAGGCTCGGATTGTCCCCGGGCGTGAGCGCGCCGGCTGCGCGGAGCCGCGGAGGGGGCGCCCGGCGGGAGGCGGGGGAGGGGCGGCGGCTCGGGCCGGCTATCCCGAGCCGAGGACTCTGGCCAGAGCCAGCCGGGCCCAGCGCCGCCTGACACGCGAGGAAGCTGAAACCCGGAGAGGGGAAGTGACCCCCTGCAGGCCGGGCGGGATGCGGAGGCGGGTCTTTGCCACAGCCCTGCCCGGAGCGGCGGGACGGAAGGCGGGGAGAGCACGGCGGTGGGTGGGGGTCGCGGGGAGCGGGGACGAGTGCAGGAGCGGGCGGCCAGAGGGGCGAAGGCCGAGGAGTCCGCGGCCCCAGCGGCGCTGCGGGGCGAGGTTTCCGCAGACGGTCCCCGGGGCCTCTCGGCTTGCCCACTCGAGCCTGCCCACTTTCTTTGGAAGTCCAGCCCCTCGCCTCAGCCGCCCCGGGGAGAAGCTCCAGGGGCAGCCTTTGTGATGATGGCATCTTCAGAAGGACGAAAGGAAAATGACATTTCTCAAAGGACCACCGGCACCACCTCTTTAAGGTGATCCATTTCAAGGGGTCCCACAAAATACACAACCACACTCAGGCCGGAAGTGGTTTTGCCCCTATAAAATATGGCGGAAAGCTTTCTCGTCTCCTAGGCAACACCACGTAACGCGTGGACGCAGTGGCATGCCCTCTGGGATCGTTCTGCGCACGCGCAAACAGCACGCGCTACCGGAAGTGATGTCATCCCCTTCCACGGGATGGTTTAGCGCGCGTGCGCAGTAAGCTCTTCCGTCAGGTGTGTTGTGGAAATGGTGGAGAAGAAAACTTCGGGTATGTGAGCCCCCGGCGGTTGGCCTCCTACCTCTTCCCAGACCCTGGCCTCTGATGTTCGCACTCAGTTATTAGTCTCAAAGCCCTTCCCCGGTCCTCGGGTCCTGGCGTCGGGGTAGCCCCTCAGACCTGGCATGCTCCGTGCCAGTGCCGGGGATGGAAAGGGGAAAAAGTTCTCTATCATCGTCGAGAAGCTGGCTCTCGGGGACGGGGACAGAGTGCAGGCCCACCGCTGCATTTCAGGGCGATATGTGCGGCGGCAGAGGGGTGCACAGCTCCTGGGCGCGGGGAGGAGTGGCACCTAACCCTGCTCCTGGGACGGAGGGGACCGGGAAGGCTTGGAGGGAGAAAAAAGCTTGAGCTGAATCCTAAGTCGAGTCACGGTTTCGCTCAGTACGGGCGCTCTGAGACTCATTCCCGGCAGCGTGAACCTCGAGTGCAAAGGCAGGAAAGCGAGAAAAAGCAAGTCGCTCAGGAAGCCAAGTGCACATTTGGGGGCTTGCGGGGGAATAGTGAGCGTCTGGAGGCTGCGGAAAGGTGCACTTGAAAGGCATTCTGTACACCGCTGGAGAGTTTGAATTCTGTGGAGAGGGCAGTGGAGAACCATCAACAGGCCCTTTTAAGGCAAAGGCGTGACCGAAACAGATTTGTCTTTTATTTTATATTTTTAAAAGATTTTGTTTATTTATTCATGAGAGACACAGAGAGAAGCAGAGACACAGGCAGAGGGAGAAGCAGGCTCCATGCACCGGGAGCCCGACGTGGGATTCGATCCCGGGTCTCCAGGATCGCGCCCTGGGCCAAAGGCAGACGCTAAACCGCTGCGCCACCCAGGGATCCTGTGGCTACCTTATTGTACCGGGCAGGTGTAGAGGCTGGAAGGCCAGTTAGGGAGCGATGGCGTTGTAGACATAAAGAGGTATGTGGGTGGAACACCCTGCCATATTGACTGCAGTCAATCCAATCATGTCAGTCCTTTCTTAAAACTCTTTGCCAGATTTCCATTATTCGCACTGTAAATCCCCAAATCCAGGGATCCTTGGGTGCCTCAGCGGTTTGGTGCTTGCCTTCAGCACAGTGCATGACCCTGGAGCCGGCGAATGGAGTCCCACCTTGGGCTCCCTGCATGGAGCCTGCTTCTCCCTCTGCCTGTGTCTCTGCATCTCTCTCTCTCTCTCTCTCTCTCTCTCTCTCTCTCTCTCTCTGTGTGTGTGTGTGTCTCATGAATAAGTAAATAAAATATTTTTTTAAAAATGTAAATCCCCAAATCCAAACTCCTTTAGATACTTAAAGGTAAGACTTAATGGTCAGCCTGACTTTATATCCGCACAGTACCCCCACCCCCACCCAACATACTTTAGATAGCAGCCCTACTTGAACTTTTTACAATTTATTGAAGGCACCTCCGTCTCCCATCCAAGCTTTCTCTCGTGCTGGTACGAAGACCTGACATACCTTTCCACCTCCCCCAACCAAGCTAACTTCTATTCTTCTATTCTTCTAACTTCTATTCTTCTTCTAGGTCAGATCTCAACCTAATCTTTACTCTGGAGAATCTTGACTACCCCAAGGCCAAGTTAGGTGTTTCTGACATGTGCTCTGTTGTACTTTGTACTTCCTTGTGCTAGCATATTCTATGCTGTACTCTGCTTGTTTGTTTGATCATTGGCATTCCTCACCTGACTGTAAGCTCATGTGTTCCCAGAGCCTAGGGCACTGCTGGGCACTTGGAAAAGAGGCAATATGCAGAGATCCAGAGCTGAGCAGTTCTGGGTTTGAATTCTGACCAAGCTATGTGAGCTTTGGACATGCTTCTTAGCCTTTGAACTTCAGTGATCTGGGGATGATAATGATATCTCTCTCTTAAGGTTGATGAAGGGTTAAAGCTCTTACACAAAGTGCTTAGCATAGGGCCTGTCTTGTAGTATATGCCCAGTAAGCGTTAGCCACTGGTGCTGATGCTATTATTATGGTTACAGGCACTCAATAAATATTTGTTGAGTGAATAAAGAGATATTTAATGTAGAATGATCAGACCCTGATAAAGAGAGAGAGGTCTGAAATAACTCCTAGGTTTCTTGTTTAGGATGTCTGTGTCAATGGTTCCACTTACTTAAACATTGCACAGCGGGAGAAGCCGACTTGGATGGGAAGATTCTATTTTGAGCTACAGCATCAGCAGAGCCATCTCTGGCTACTCTTCTAAGCCTCTCATGTGGCCTACTGTCACCCCCCTAAGGAGAGGGCTGTCCCTATCTCTGTCTCAATCTTTTCACTCTTCCTGGGATTTCAAACCCAAACACAGGGCTCTCACCCAGATGCAAATGACTCCAAAAGTGGTTCTCTTAATCCTGAACTTTCTCCTTAGCTCCACAACTGTTGGCTGTTTAGTCGACTGCAGGAAATCACTTGCTGACCTCACCATTTTAAACCCCTCCAGCCGTTCGCTGGGGTCTATTAATTCTACACAAAATATCTCTTTCTTTATTAAACGCATATTCACTGAGTGCCTATAACCATAAGGAAAACCTGAAGTCATGTCAAGGAAGCAAATGAGGGGATTCTTTCCACCTGAGGGAAACAGTCGACAGAGTCTCAGGGTGTCATAAAAGGCAGATTGCAGAAATACACAGTGAATTTGGCACCAATTGTGAGTGGTTCGCACTGAATGGGAGTCAGTTTGCTGGAGGTTGAGGGGTAGATGGGAGGGGAAGAAATGAAACATCCCATGGACCATTCTCTCAAAGATGAGTCACAGGGACATAAGGTCAACGTGAGAGTTTGGCAGGTTTTCCAGTGAAGGGAAAGTACCTGTGGGGTTGCAGATGCAGGAGGGAGGAAAGAACTCCAGTGGAGTCGGGGAGGAGTTGGGGGGGGGGGTGTTGTATCCATTTGGAATGGAGGGAAGGCAGGTGCCCATATAATTATGTTTGAGGGTGGGCTGAAAGATGAGCGTCTCTACATGTGGGTGGCCAGTGTCCTTTCTGCAGGAAATGGGATTGCTGAGCATGAAGGTGGGGGCATTAAGGTCCACTGAAGGCTGGAAGTCCAGAGTGTACAACGGTCCCCATCCGCACGGTTGTGTGACTTCTGCCAGCAGTGAGAGGTCTCCAGGAGGCATTTCATTGGTTGGGTCTGGGAATTGGGAAGAAAGGCTGGGGACGCCCCAGCTTCTCTCCTGTGCCCCCACGACTCTCAGGCTCTGCTCCATCCAGTTCGCTCCCAGGATCCTGGACAGCGGCGGGTTCTGGACCGGGCTGCGCGACAGCGCCGCATCAACCGGCAGCTCGAGGCCTTGGAGAATGACAACTTCCAGGACGACCCCCACGCAGGACTCCCCCAGCTTGGCAAAAGGCTGCCTCAGTTTGACGATGATGCAGACACGGGTGAGGCGGGTGGAGGAGGAGGCGGGAGGAAGGAAGGGCGGGGCGGGCCTGGGGACACTGGGCAGAGGAAGGGGGAGGAGCCTGCCCCGGGGCATCAGGCTGGGGGTTGGGCAGATGACCCAGGAGCCCGACTGTGAGCCAGCCTCCCTCCCCTCTCTGCCTTCACTGCCTCTAGCAGATTGAGAATACAGAACATGGAGGTGCTGAGCTCCCAGAGCCCCTCCAGCTGGGACTCAAAGCCTTAGGGGAGCTTGCAGTGCATGTAGGTGCAGGCTGGAGAAGTGAAGGGAGGGACACACTGGGTAGAGAGAGGCCAGCTTGGAACCCAGGGGAGCAGGTGGGCAGGGAGTGGACATGTGGGTGTTGGGAACAATGGCACAGAGAAAGATGGTGTCTTTCTTGGCATGTGCCAAGTAGCTGCAGTTCACCTTTGAACAATACAGGTTTGAACTGCATGGGTCCCCTTGTGTGTGGGTTTTTTACAGTCCTGTCCTGTAAAGGTGTTTTCTGTCCCTTATGGTTTTCTTAATCGTTGGTTTTCTCTAGCCTTGTTAGAAGAATACAGCATGTAATACATACAATGTGTAAAATCTGTGTTAACCACCCTTGTGCTATCAGTAGGCTTCTGGTCAACAGTAGACTATCTGAAGTTGTTTTGTAGGGAGTTGAAAGTTATACACAGATTTTTTGACTGCGTGGAGGAGGTCGGTGCCCCTAACGCCCTTGGCATTCAAGGGTAAACTGGAATTGCCCTTCCTCTGTAGGAAAGAAGAAGAAGAAAACTCGAGGTGATCATTTTAAACTTCGCTTCCGAAAGAACTTTCAGGCCTTGCTGGAGGAGCAGGTGAGGGGGGCTGGCCTAGGGACTGGGAGGGCCCCACAAGGAGGGAATGAGCCCACAGTGGTCCTTGTCCTGAGCAGGTGTCTGTTATGTGGGTGGGTGAGGAGTTCTGGAGCCCTCCTCTTGTCTCTGCAGAACCTGAGTGTGGCCGAGGGTCCCAACTACCTGACAGCCTGTGCGGGACCCCCCTCCCGGCCCCAGCGCCCCTTCTGTGCTGTCTGCGGCTTCCCCTCCCCGTATACGTGCGTCAGCTGTGGTGCTCGGTACTGCACTGTGCGCTGTCTGGGCACCCACCAGGAGACCAGGTGAACTCAGAACCTTCCCCGGGCCCCCGGGAGACATCGTCTCCCTTGCATCCCCTCAGGCCTCCCAGAACCTTGCCTCATCCTGGGCTTCCTCTACCTGCAGGTGTCTGAAGTGGACAGTGTGAGCCTGGGGGTCCCCAGAGGAGAAGGCCTTCGGTGCATCAATCTCCCCAGCCTCAGAGAGGGCTTGGCCAAAGGGAGAGGTACTCTCATGGACCAAGAGAGGAGCCATTCCCGCGCCCAACGAAGCTGTGTCCTACGTACCGCGGAAGACCAGTCTTACTCCCAGGGACTGTTTGCAGGGAAGTGGGCTGGGCCCTCAGTGTGCTGTTGTAATAAAAGGTTTCATGCGAGGAGGAGCCTGCCTATTTGGTCACATGTGTTTTGGGGCTGAGGGTCATAGGTCTCCTGTCCTCACTGCCCTGTGGCTTTTCCTTCTATATGTCAGTCACCCCTCCCACTGTCTGCCTGTCTGAGTTCCTGATCAAGGAAGATTTTGGTCCCATTCACCTACCACACCCATGTCTCTGCATTTCTTGGCTGCTGCTTGATGTCATTTTTTGGTGATTGATTGATTGAGTGCATTTAGTTTTGTTTTTTGTTTCTCTAGTTCTTCTGAGTTGATATCATCTGAGGATAGCCAGGACTGGGTGACAGAGAAGTGGAGTGAGCTTTGGGGACAAGGTGCAGAATGCTATTGTGGAAGGAGCCACCCCTGCCTTCGTCCTCTGGAGCTTAACCCAAGGGAGAGGTCATCCCTTGTCCTTGGTGCTGCCAGGCTAAGGAGCAGCTGTTCCAATGAGGCTGTAATGGGCTGTGGTGTGTGAAATTATTAGTAGCAGAGAAAACCCAGAAATTTCTGGGAAGCATGAGGGAATTCATGATATAGAGGCCTCTGTTCTAGGTGGTTCTGGGTGCTGTAATTCTTTTTTTTTTTTTTTTTTTAAGATTTTATTTATCTGAGAGAGAGCAAGCAAGCACAAGTGGGGGTGGGGGACAGAGGGAGAGGGAGAAGCAGGCTTCCCGCTGAGCAGGGGACCTGATGTGGGACTCAATGCCAGGACCCTGAAATCATGACCCATACAAAAGACGCTTAACCAACTGAGCCGCCCAGGGGCCCCCAGATGCTGTAATTCTCATGTGGTGGTAAAGCTTCTTAGACCCATGTCTGCTCTAAATTGATTGCAAGCTATGAGCTCATAAGCTCCTTGGAGTTGTTGTCTTAAGAGCCTTACCCCCTTGGAATATAGCAAAGCAGATGCTGAGGAAGTATTTGTTGAACAAAATGACCTCAGTAAGATATTAATGGATCCAGCAAATTTGGTGGTAGGCACCTTCATAGGCTCTTCTCCCCCTTTTGGTACTTTACAACAGTTGGCCCAAATGTTCCCAGTGTCTTCTTGGCCTTTCTCTGGAGACTTGAGGCTGGGTCAGTGGTACTGGGGACAGCTCCAAGTTGGATGGTGGTAAGGACACAGTTTGGGGACAGTCCCAAGTATGGTGGTTTCAAAAGGGTGTACATTTTCTGACTATCCTTTCATCGAAAAATAGGGTCTTTGCCCCCTTCCCCTGGGATCAGGGCAGAGGCATGCCTGCTTCAACCAGCAGAGAGTAGCAGAAGTGAGATCATGTGACATCCAAGGATAGGTAGTAAAAGGCCAAGAAGCTTCTGTCTTGTCACCTGGGACACTTGTTATTTTGGGTCCCTCCATCACCATGTGAGGAATCCAACCATCCTGAAGCCGCCGTGCTATAAGGAACCAGGCCCCACGGGGAGGCCACACATGGTGCCCCCACTGGCGGACCCTGCTGAGTCCAACCCAGCAGCTTCTGTCATGGGACTGAACACCTCCAGATAATTCTGGCCGCCAGGCATCAAATCGCCCTTAGCCATCTGAGGCTTCCCAGCTGTGTCCGCAACATCACGGAGCAGACACAAGCCGTCCCTGCTATGCCCCAGATTGCTGACCTACAGAAGCCATGTGTATAATCAAAGCTTTGTGCCGCTGAGTCTCAGGATGGTTGTTACCGCAGCGGTAGTAACTGGGACACCAAGAGTCTGGCGTGCTGGCTTCTGACTTCTGGCCTAAATTTATTGTGTCTCCCATGAAGGGAAACTTTTGTGGGTCCTAACCTTTCCATCTTCTGCTCTATCATGAAATATATTTGAGAAAGAAAAAGAGAAAAAAAAAGAAAAAAGAGGGAAGAAGAAAAGAAGGGATGGAAGGGAGGAGATGAAGGAAAAAGAATAAAAGGCTATGTCCCCCTGGCTGAGAAATGCCATCAGCGCTCCGCTGTGATCACCTGCATTGGACTTCCTGTCAGATTTGCACCAAGTCAACACAGTCTCCTTGGTTTATTTTCTAAATTCTCTGGCTTTGTTTCATATTTGCTATTACAAAAAGAACCATGAAGGTACTGCCTGGTGTGAGATTTGTCTATTCAGTGACACATCCCAGCTGACCTTGATCGGATGGAGCCAAGCCCAAGGGCTCCGCATGGCTCTCATGCTAGGTGGCTCCAGGAGTCTGGTCACATTCTCTAGGAAGGATCTATGGACAGCCCACCCCCTGAAACCACACTCCCTAAGGAAAGCCTTGAGCAGTTTTTGCCGGCTTCCTGTGTGCTGAGGAGATTGGTCTCTACTTTGGGAGACCCGGGTCTTTGGGAAATCTACACTGTGCCAAAAACTTGTGGAAGCTGTGAGGCAGCAGCACAGCCTCCTCCTGGGCACAAAGAGACTGGAAGGCTAGAGCCTGGGGGCTCACTCCTACAGCCCTCAATGAGAATTAAATATAGTTGACATGAATTAGTTTGGAAAGCCAAGAATCCTGGGAAGCAGGCCAGTTGTGTTTTCAGTCTTGGACAAATCCTGGTCCTACTGTCTACTAACTGCATAGCTTGGACAGGTCACTTACAGGTCACTCTGACTCCCTTATAACCACCGCCCCGACAGTGGGAAGATGAAATCAGATGGCATGCCCAGCCCAGTACCTGGCATCTGGAAAGTTCTCAGTCAGTGATAGCTGTTGACATTATTGCCCAAGGCCTCCAGCAGTTCGTTGTTGAGCTTTGTCACAGCTGGTTCCTCCAAAGACTGGACATTCCTCGCAGTAGCCTTAGCACCTTGCCCACTGCACAGCAACCAGCTGCTTACATTTCTCTTTGCTCCTGGTTTGTGAGTTCTTTGAGGCCAGAGGCCATGTCTTGGTGCCACACTAACTTATGGCAAAGAAGAAAATCAGTATTGTTTAAAAGGGTAAACGTGTTGATAGCTCTTAATAGCCATGTGACTATGCATAAGGAAGAAGAAATCAAAACTTAACCTAGTGCCCATGTTAAGGTACCTACTTAGATGCTCAAGTGTGAAGTCTGACTTGTATTAGTTTTCCTGAAAGTGGGAAGGAGTGAGAAGAGGCAGGCTGGGGTCTCAGAAAGGAGGTAGAAGCTGTGGGGCAGGGGGAAGAGTGGAAGTTTGTGTCTGACATGTCCAGGTGGCTTCAGGAGATGTAATTAACTTTTTTTTGTAAGATTTTATTTATTTATTCATGAGAGACAGAGAGATGCAGAGACACAGGCAGAGGGAAAAGCAGGTCCCATGCAGGGAGCCTGATGTGGGACCTGATCCCGGGACTCCAGGATCACACCCTGGGCCAAAGGCAGGCGCTGAACCGCTGAGCCACCCAGGGATCCCAGCTTTTTTTTTTTAAAAAAAAAAAAAAAGATTTTATTCATGAGAGACACAGAGAGGCAGAGACATAGGCGGAGGGAGAAGCAGGCTCCCTGCGGGGAGCCCCATCTGGAACTCAATCCCAGGACCCCGGGATCACAACCTGAGCCAAAGGCAGGCACTCAACCGTTGAGCCACCCAGGCGTCCCTATAATTAGCTTTTGTCCTTCATTGGGTGTGTGTAGGGGGGTAGATACAGGCATCCTGAGGAACTCTGATGGCTTCTCAGAACTGTGAGATCCTTCTTAAGGTGTTGGTCACATGTTTGAGAGAGAAACGCACTATGGGTTTGCTAACAAAGCGAACCCCACAGGGCCAATGCTTGGCACAGTAGATGGGTAATTGTGACACTAGGGGCCACCGTGAAACAAGCTTTCCAGCACCCACTCTCTTGTGCAGTCCCTTCCATGATGACTCTTGACTTGGCCACGTAACTGGCTTGGCCAACAGGACATCCCCAAACTATGGAGGCAAAGAGTGAGGGGGGCATAGGATATACAGACTTCAGCAAATTTCTTACCAGGAAACCTCTTCACAGCTGAAAAAGCACCGGTGCTTCTGGGTAGACCCTTAGGAAACCCCAAGCCAGTGTGTGTCCAAGGCCAGTGAGCAAACAGGTTTGCTAGGAGAGCAGGATTGTATGGAGGAAGAGTAGGGACTGGGGACAGCAGGTGGGCTAGGACCAGGCAGTGTGTTAATGGTCTTGGGCTTTTTTTCTGAGGCACCAGGGAGCTGCCAGAGCAGCACAAAGCATGGTGCTCTGTGACAGGAATGTGGACAGGATTAGAAAGACAGAGGAGAAGCTCAGTTAGGGAAATCCTTTCCTGAGCAAGGGAGAATGAGGGCCTGACCAGTGTAGGGAGCAAAGTAAGTGGATGTGAAAAACACTGAGGCGGGGGGGAATCCATAGACTCTGGGGGACATGGCGGAGGGGAAGTGAAGGGAAAGCCTGAGATGACTGAGGTCAAGTCGTGCAACTCAGGAGTCGACTATGCTGGTCACAGGAATGATGGGAAGTGGCAGCGATGAATTTGATGACTTTGCCCAGCCTGGGGAAAACACACGGGGCGGGGGGAGGGGGCAGGGAGTGTATGCACTTCTGAGGCTCAGGAGAGAGGGCCCAGTTAGAATGCAGATGTGGGGGTCTCTACATCCTGGGGGACAGTCCGTGCAGGTGAGTGGATAGGATGAAAGAGAAAGAAGGGGCGAGATCGGAACCCAGGCCACCCCCAGTGACTGGTCACCAGGTCAGTGCTGCTGGGGCTAGGGTATGGTCCCAGCTCCCCTCCTTCCAGCAGGCGCCAGGCCTCTCCCCCCCTTTTTTTTAAATTTTTTTTCCAGGCCTTTCTCTTGTGGCCTCGTTCTCCTGTCTCCAAGCCAGTCCGTGACCCAGTGCGGAGTCTGAGTTGGACACCACGGAGTCACCATGCACACAGCACCAATATGCAAGCCTCCGTGGAAAGACATTCAGAGCCTTTCTGGAAGTCCTCATTGAATTTTCCCCAGGAAAATCTGCCTGCACCATACCTGACTGATTTGACACACAATTTCAAAGGGTTTATCAATTTGTGATGTCCACTCTTAGACACAGCTAAAGGGACTCTGCTCAGGGTCAGCTGTCTCCTTGAGGAAGGTCGAGAGAAGAGAACGACTTGTTATCTCAGGCTGGCCAGGGGAAATCTCTGCCGCTTCCAGCTTCCTAGAGCTGTGTCTTCCTCGGTCTGCTCCTTGGGGACTCTCGTCAGTAATTCGGAGTGCCACACTCTTGAAATCACTTGCAACCGCTCCTCTTTTTCAGATGAGACAGTCCAGAGGTGACAGAGGGACAGGTGCCAGCCTGAGGTCCAGAAACTGAGACGACCCTGGGGGCCACCCGAGTCACCCATTGCTTGGCCAGCCACTTCATGTCATCCTCCGTCCCTGGACAGTTCATAGTACAAATTTATTTAAGCATGTATTTATACAGAATACAAACCGTCGGGGACGCCTCCGCCCCCTCAGCCAACCAGCGCCCAGACCCAGAAGGTCCCGCCCCAGGAGTCTGAGCTGAGTTCTCAGGAGGCGGGATCTTCGCCCGGCGGAGGAGGCGAGGCCGCGGCGGGGGGCGTGGCCGGGGCGGGCCCGGCGCTGGGCGTGGCTTCCGGGCCGGGGCGGAGTCGGGGCGTGGCCCGCAGCCCGCGGTTAGCCGGACCTCTCCGCTCGCCGCAAGGCGAAGGGAAGGGGTCCACCGGCGTCCTACACGTAAGCGTTCTTCCCGTATTTGCCAAAGGTGCTGTCGCCTTCTTCGTCCGAGGCCGCGGGGCGCAGGCGGTCGACGAGGCCGGGGGACCGCACCGCGGAGGCATCGTAGGGGAGCCTGGGTCAGCGGGGCCTGGGTCAGCGGAGGCGCGCCCCCCATCCCGGCCGCCCCCGCCGCCCCCGCCGCCCCCCATCCCGGCCGCCCCCGCCCCGCCGCCCCCATCCCCGCCCGCCCCCCCATCCCGGCCGCCCCCCATCCCGGCCGCCCCCGCCGCCCCCGCCGCCCGCCATCCCGGCCGCCCCCGCCGCCCCCATCCCCGCCGCCCCCATCCCCGCCGCCCCCATCCCCGCCGCCCCCCCCCATCCCGGCCGCCCCCGCCGCCCCCCCATCCCGGGCGCCTCCGCCGCCCCCCATCCCGGCCGCCCCCCCATCCCGGCCGCCCCCGCCGCCCCCCATCCCGGCCGCCCCCGCCGCTCCCCCATCCCGGCCGCCCCCGCCGCCCCCCATCCCGGCCGCCCCCGCCGCTCCCCCATCCCGGCCGCCCCCGCCGCCCCGCCCTTACCTGGGGGCCGGGGTCGCGTCGGGAGCGCGGCAGCAGCCGGAGCCGAGGCAGACGCCGCCCAGGATGGCGAGAAGGGAGGCGCTCCAGCCCAGGTAGAGGGCGGGGCCCAGCTCGTACCTGGGGACAGGGACGGTGCGCGGCGGCGCTGGCTCGGGCCCCGCCGCGTCCCACCCCCCAAGGACCCCCAGGGCGGGGCTCCCATACTCACTTGGTCCCCGGATACAAGGGGTCGAAGAATTCCCGGGTGATGTTGAAGGCGTACCAGGAGATGGCCACCATCCCGCAGAATCCTGGGGAAGGAGAGGAGGGCCACGCTCGAGCCCCAGGCCCGGCAGAGGGGGGCGGGAGGGGGGCGGCGCAAATCCAAGAGCAAGTTGCCGTCCCTCCCTAGGTCCTGGCCCTTCTGTCTCCTAGGGTCCCAAGCGCAGCCCCTCTTTCATGTCTAGTCTCCCACGCTCTGCCCTCGGTCCGTTCTTTATCCCCGACCTGCCTAGCATCTTGATCAGAGTTGACTCACGTGGAATCTGCCCCATCCAAATCCTACCCATCCTGGAAAGTCCCGCTGCCCCAGCAATTGTCCGCGAAGCTTGCCCTGATGCCTGTTGCTTCGGCCTCCCCAACCCCCTACACCCTCCAGCCTGGGACAGGCCTTTGCCACTCAGGGCAGTGAAGGCGTGAGGCCAGTGAGACCTCCAGCCTTGGCCCTCTCCGGGGGCTCCTCCAGTATCACCTGAGCTTTCTGAGCCTGTTTCCACAGCTGGAGAGGAGGCCACGCCCAACCTACTTCACGGGCTTGTTGTGAGGCGATGCATGCAGGTGCAGGTGTTTTACAGACTGAAAAGACGGCCAGTCCTACAGTATCGTTCCTCTTTGCTGTGGGTTTGCACGTACACCCCTGACTCTGACCTTCCCAGGCTGGCTGTAAGCTCTGGGGGCAGATGCTCACTCACCTTTGGGGTCCCTCTAACACCTCACTCATACCTGGCTCCTAGTTGGTGCTCAATAAACGTTGCTGATGGATTGATTTGTAGCCAAGAGAGTTGGTGAGCATGAGTGAGGCTGGTGTGAGCAGGGGAAGAGGGAAGACTGGGCAGGGAGGGCAGGTGTCTATGCCACGGGGGAGGTGAGACACGCACTGGAAGTGGCAAGCTGGAGAGGACAGGGAATCCCGGGAAGCCCCCACAGACACACAATGCAGGGCACACCCACCACCTTCCCCCAGTTACCAGCCAGTATGTGTAGGACCCCTGCGGTGGCCGCCAGCTTGGCCTTCCTGGAGAGCTCCATGCCCCCAATGTTTATGCAGCGCAGCCCCACCATGCCTAGGAAGAGGCCCAGGAAGCCCAGGAAGATGGCGGTGATCATGAGCGCCCGGCAGGCCTGGAGGTACCCTGGGGAGGTGGGGCGCAGCCATGGGTCCCTAAGCTGGCCCCTTCCCCCTCCACCACTAAACCAGCCCCTTACATACAGCCAGCCCCTGTTTGGGTCTTAGCCCATAAAGGCCCTCAAGTCCTCTCCTTCCCCTTCAGGCCCTATTTGGCTGATGGAGTCTCCTTCCCAGGGTCTCACCTCAGCCTCAAGGAATCTCAACCCCTGCTCCCCCTGCACCTGGCTTTGGGGCGCTTCATGATGGGTTTTCTCCCTGACACTGCTGACACTTTGGCCAGATGATGCTCTGTTCTGGGGGGTCATCTGTGCATTGTGGGACGTTCAGCAGCATCCCTGGCTTCTATTCATGAGGTGTCAGCAACAATCTGCCCCAAGAGGGACAATCAAAATGCTTAGACACTATCAAATGATCCCTGAGGGACAAAATCACCCCCAGCTGAGAACACTGCTCTGTTAGGTCGCCACCACGCTCTGTTGTGAATTACAGAAATTGCACTCAAGCGCCCCAGCCCCTTGCCCACATCTGCTTCTCTCCGGGTCCCACCAGGTGCCTGGCACAGCCCTGGGCAGCCTGAACTGAGCTTTCTCCCGAAGCAACCAGTAGGGGGCAGCATGGGTCACAGGATGAAGGCCATTTCTGATCTGCAAAGTGGGATACCTGGGCGCAGGAACAATCCAAGCCCGTCTAGTTCATGTTATGTTTGGTGCCTCAGATTCCCCTTTGTCAAAGCTGAAGGAAACAGCCAGCTTCGTTCCTGGTCCCCTTCCCCCTTCTCTGTCTTTGATAGTTGCCAAGCACTCCAAGGACCTTGCTCCCCTTCCCGGGTGGGGCCGCGCCATGGTGCTAAAGGAGAGGCTGGGTCCCTGCCAGGAAGATGTGAAGTGGCCCGGGGCTGGCGGTTGGGAGGAGGGACAAAGTTCCCTGGAGCGCATTCTCACTCCCAGCCACTCCCTCTGGAGTTCCCGCCCTCTCCCCTGCCTCCTCTACACACACATTCATCCACGCGACTCTACCCGGGGCTGACCAGCTCTGGGTCCCCAGGCAGCCAGGGTAGACAAAGGAGAGATTATTGATGGGCCCCCAGGGAGCAAGGGCTGGGCGTGATTAAATAAACGAGAGTCAGGACCCCCTTCAGGACCAGAATCACCCTGGAAGTGTCGGCTCCCTGGGTTCCAGCCCCCCTACCACCTGTGGGACTCTGGGTGGGTTAACGCTCGTCCTTGGGGCTTTCCAGTAAGACGAGGCCGCTAACCCCGGCACAACCAGGCCATCGTAGACAGCACTGAGGGAGGAACCCAGCACCATGGCTGGGACCCGGATGACCCCCCATACGGGGCAGCATCCCTCCCCCTTCGCCTCAAGAATGCTCCTACTGCTCTGTCAGCAGTTCCAAGCGGGGCCCTTCTCTGGCGGACAGGCTCACAGCAAAGGCCCCTCCTCAAACCACGGGGTAGGTGAGGGTGGATGAGGGTGGGTGAGGCGGGAAGGGCTGTGGCTGCTGGGCTGGCTGCCTCCAAGGCCCCCTCTGGTCACCCAGCCTTCTGTGCTTCTGGCCTAGACAGTACTCAGCTTTATAGGGAGCTTTGGGGGGCACCTGCCTTAAGTCCTGGGAAGAGGGATGAAGGCATGACGCCCCCACTGCTGTCTCAGGAGATTCTGGGAACAGTGGGGGCCTAGAGACCCACACAGATCCCCTAACTTCTCAGAGCATCTCTGGCATTCCTGGGGGATTTCCAAACCCAGTGTTGGCATTAGTTCTGTCCATACCCCGCACCTGCAGTACGGGACGAGAGCAAGATGGCTCTGATCTTCCCCCTCTTGCTGTGGGGCTTGGGGCGGAAGGGGGACCCCCCTGGGGCACGCTGGTGGCTACTCCTAGGGTGAGCGGGAAGCAGGAAGATGCTACCACCACCAGGGGGAACCTTTCTGGGCCAAAAGAGCTGTAGGCTCCAGCCGCTTCAAAATACTACAAAAATACACTGCCTGAGAACACCAAACACACGCACAGCACACACCCCTACCTGCTTCCAGTGGATGCTGAGCTGCAGGGAGACTCCCTTTAAAAGGGCCCTTTAGAACTCACCATGGCAGTGGGACGGGTGCCCCCACCAGAGCCTGAGGCTCTTAAGTGTCTCAACCCCAAGAACCCAAGACAGGGCACCCTCTGCATCCCACAAACCCCTGTATTCCCACCCCAGCGCTAAGATGCTGAAGTCAGTCGTGTTTGTACTGGGCTAACACAACATGCTAACGTTCCGTATGCTTTATCCCAACACATAACCGTCCCCTGAGCCAGTGCTATTACTCGGATTCTACAGGTGGGAAAATGAAGCTCATTTTATCACCTGCCTGGGGCACAGAGCTAGCAAAGTGCACCCGTCAGGCTGACCCTGGTGCCTGCACTTGTAACCACTAGGTGTGTCACATTAGGGCAGGGGGACACGTGGGATGAGGTCCCTACTGCAGTTCCAGAAAGGGGGCTGCCCCCAGCACTCCCAAGCACCTCCCAGCTTGATCTAGGCCTCCCTTACTAGTACAGTGCCCAAAGCCCGACCATGGGCAGCACCACCATCCCCAGGGGTCTCTCCCTCCCCCAGCCTCCTGCCACCCTCTACCCCCTGGAGCTCTCCCCATCCCATACCAGAGAGAGCCAGCAAGGACGGAAACTCCCGGCAGCTGTAGACTCCTAGGGAGTCGGTGGCACAGCTAAACCAGAGGTTCTCGAAGATGGTGTTGGTGGTGATGACGCTCCCGTGCACGGTGGACACTCGCCAGTAGCTGTTTGGCAGGGTCACCCCCAGCATCAGCAACCCCAGGGCTGCCATGAAGAAGCCGAAGGTCTCCACAGCCACCGACATGGTGGGATGCAGGGCCCTGGGGGGCGCCTGGGGCCCCAGAGAAGGGGAGGGGCTGAGCCCCAGGGGAACTTGAGAAGCTTCGGCTAAGCTGGACTGCTCAGGCAAGCTGGAGAGAGAGAAAGGGGAGCCAGCAGCAGTGTGGGCTTCAGGTCTATCTCTTGGTTTCTGGCCCCGGCCCTCTCTCTGGCTCTTTGCTTCCCGGAAGGTCCGGGCAGAGGAATGAGCCTAGAGCACCAGGCAGCTGTTGACGAAGAGATGGAGGGAATAAACGAAACGGGCCAAAAGTCCACCCCCTCCCCCAGCCTCTGGGCTGCTCTGGGCTCCCCGCCCCAGGAGGGGGGCGGAGAGGACTTCTGGGAGTGACTAACGGATACGGCCAAGGAGGGGCCCCCATGGGAGGCGGTGGGAGCCAAGGGGAAGCATGTCTGACTCAGCTTTCATCGGGGGGCCAGAACATGGGAGAAGAGGGTGACGGAGAGGCAGAGACAGAGTGCCCACAGACAGACCTCTGGTAGGGCAGCAGCTGAGGAGCAGAGCCACCCTCCCAGATGTTGGTGAGAAGAGTTTAGGAAATGCAAAAGATGGGGACACCTGGGTGGCTCAGCGATTGAGCGTCTGCCTTCGGCTCAGGGCATGATCCTGGGGTCCCACATCGGGCTCCCTGCATGGAGCCAGCTTCTCCCTCTGCCTATGTCTCTGCCTCTTTCATGAATAAATAAAATCTAAAAAGAAAAAAAAAACACAAAAGACCCAGGGTTTCCTTCCTCCAAGGAAGATGATGGTTGGATAAGGGAACAGGGTATCTGGGAGAAACCCACTGCCCTGGAGTCCAACCAACCCAGAATCAAACCAGACCCACCATTTACCAGGGACCCAGGCATGCAGTCAGCCCTGTGCTGAGATTGTTTCTGCTTCTGTGAGCTAGAACCAGCTTCCTCACCTCATGGGGTGTATTAAGAAGTGTGACCCCAGATCAAAAGCTCCCGCAAGTGTGAAACGCTCCCTCCCCGGTGACCACCCTGGGTCTGGGTACTGCAGGCCTGGGCTGAGGCCACCAGTGGGTTGCTTCCCCTTGTTGTGCTGATCTTTGACTCTCGGCACCGAGCTTGATCTTACTGCCAAGGGCCACTGAGGAGGATAAACCACAAGCCCAGAATGTGATCCTGTGGGTAATCTAAGCTGCTCGGTTATCAGAACTGTCATCAGCTCTATTAATTATGATGGATTCAAAACCTCTGGGTCCCCACCCCAAGGCAAGGCTGAACACCTGTCCCGGTGTGGACAGTAGCATTTCCTACCCCTAAGCCAAGCCAGGGCAGCTCTGCTCTCCTGCAAGCACAGCAGGGGCTCAGTCTCCAGGGACAGGGGACGGAGGCTACCCCCAGGCAGCACCACATCATTCGGCCAAGTGTATTCCCCCACCCCATGGCCCCCCTCTCGGTGTCAGGCTCCCCTGAGCTCCCCTCAGGTGCCTCCTCAATCCCTCCAGGCTAGGCTGGCTTGGCTGTGGAACGAGAGGTATGCAGTGAAGCAAGACAGGCCCACGCTGAGCCTGGCACGAGGCGGGTGTGGGGCCAAGCAGGCTGGGTGGGGACTGGGTCCCGACCTTCCATCTCTGAGCCTACAGCTGGGATGTCCTAAGTTCGTAAACTTTTCTCCAGAACTGATGACCCCATGCCAAATGCCTATTCCTGCCTCTGGGCAGCAGCCCCTCCCCTAAGGGGACGGGGGTGGGGGGTGGGAGTTGGGTCATGGGGAGGATAGAGGGGGGGACAGGGAGGGGGCCACAGGAAGACAAAAGGAGGGAAGGGCGGAGGTTTTGGCGGAAACGGAGTGGGGGCCCCCCTGGTGTGGAAAAGTCCACGTGCTGAGATGCAGCTGTGTGGGTCAAAGGAGACGGACACATAAATCCTGGCCTGTCCCCTCCACTCTGCCCTCCTGCCTCCACTCACTGCTCTTTCCTGGGATTCAAGCACCATTCAAGGCCTCGTCCCTGTCTTGGAGCTGCCAGCTTTGGAGGTGGGGGGCGGGAAGAGGAAGGAAGGGTGTGGGGTCTGGGCAGCTTGGCAGACAAAGACGAAGCCCACACCAGCCACAGCAGGCGAGAAAGGACCCCGGGGGACCCCCACCCTTAGGCCCAGTGGAGCCCGCCCCTTCCTCAACACGGAAACAGCAGTTCCCAAGCCAAGGCCCAGTTTTATTTACACTCATTCCGGAGCACATGGTTTGGGGCTGTTGGACAAGTCTCTGGGGAAAGAAGAATGAAGGCCGGTGGGCAGTGACGGGGTATGGAAGGGACAGCAAGGATGGACGGGTCCCCCCTCTTCGACTGTCCTCTACAGTCTCCAACATATCCCTGGGCAGAGGTGGAGGTGCGGTCTCATTCAGGATTTGGACTTGGATACAGCAAGTCCGATGAGTCCAGCCAGGCCCGCCACGCCCAGGGCCATGCCTCCGACAATGGCCATGCCCACTAGTCCATCTAGGAAGGGAAACGGGAGACTGTCAGGAGCTCAGCAACCCCAGGAACCTTACCTGATGCTCCTCAACAGATGTCATGAGGTGAGGGGATCCAAGGCTTGGAGGGACCAAGGGGAAAGTGCTTGGGCGGGGGTGGGGGGGTGGGGTAGGGGGCTCATCTCAAGGGAAACCAGAGAGCCCAGGCCTGGGGGAAGGACTCAGACTTAACCAAGAGCCCAGTGGCACCCGGGGGTGATGATGGGGCCCGGCAGACAGGAGAGTAGGAAGTGGAGGGAGCAGAGAGGAAGGGTTCACCTTTCTTCATGGCCTTGTCAATGAGCCGTTCCAGTTCCTTGGCCTGGTTGTTCTGGGGCTCTGTCTGCAGCAGCCCCCGCACATACTTTAGTGCCTTCTCATATTCCTGCACTCAGGGAAAACACACAGACACACACACCCTTAGTATTCTAGCACTCCTCCTGCCCATCCGAGTGGCCTTCCTTTCGCTGGCCCTGGGGGCTCCTCCCTCTCTACCTCCTCCTGTAGTCCAGCCCCACCCAACGGAGTAGAGTCCACAAACAACCCCAACTGTGTGGGGGTGATAAGATGGGGGAGATAACAACCCAAGGCTTGGGGCTGCACCCCAACCTGAGGTCACCTTGCTCCCCACACCCTTGGCAGTTGGATCCTTTGGCTCTCACTTTCCCTCAGTGACCTGGCCTGCCATCACCCTGCACCTCTGTACCCCCTGTCCATGGCCCTCTTCGGCCTTCCCAATGGCCAGGGCTCTCCCCTGGTGGAGAAATGAGAGGATGCCAGTGGCCCACCCAAGTAGGGAGGGGTAGGAAGAGGGGCAATCTGCCTTACCTTGAGCCGGTAATTCCCCACAGCCAGGTAGAAGACATAATCCCGCTGCTCTTCTTTACTCCCCTTGGGCAGCAGTTCTAGGGAAGGTGGGAAGGGAAGAGGGTGAAAACTACTTCTCACCTTTCCTAGTGCTTGTGTATCAGGGACCCCTTCCACTCTCTGTGACTCCCTGTATGATCCAGGGAGAAAGTCACTGTCCTGAGCTTCCGTTTCAGTTCTAGTGACTCTCGACTTCCCAGTCGGACCTCTCAGGCAGCGTGGACCCAGGCTGCTGGACACCCGGGTGATCAACACCCTGATCTCAATACTGCCGTCAGCTCTGGTTCATCTCAGTGAACTGAGAGGAAATCAAGGCACTGGAGAAGCCAAAGGCATCTCGACTCACTTTGGCACCTGCTGTGCATTCTCACTGCCCTTGTTTGCTGCCCAGATTAGTGTTCAAGTAAGCCTGCACTCCCTCCCCCTTTAAAAAAGGCAACTTGAAACTCATCTTCAAAAAAAAAAAAAAAAGAAAGAAAGAAACTCATCTTCAATTAGCATTCCCTGAATGATGCAACCTGACTCTCTCCTAATTCAGGGACTTCTCAGAGGCTTATGTGCTCAGTTGTATGCTGTGCAATGGGATCTGTGTGGCTAAGTAGTTTGGCAAGTGTTGACAAATCTTCCCAAGTGTCTGTCCTGTCTCCTCAACAGGACTGGCAATGCTTAGGAGACCGCACCTACAGCTGTGCACTGCTCTGCAGGAAACCTGAAAAATCTGAATGAGCGAAAGGGGCAAACATAGGTGGAAGTGATTTGCATCAGAAAAGATTCTTGTTTTCATAGATTTACCATGGCCATCTTTTGGCCGTACACCATTTTAGTACATGATTACTGACCAAGAGAAAGGGGATGCAGGGCACAGAGAAATTTAAAGCTCATGTGCTGCGGACCTCTGACAAATGGTGACCCATCCCAAACCAAGGGGAAGTAGGATTCCAATCACAAAAGGACCATCTGGGGATCCCTGGGTGGCGCAGCGGTTTAGCGCCTGCCTTTGGCCCAGGGTGCGATCCTGGAGACCCGGGATCGAATCCCACGTCGGGCTCCTGGTGCATGGAGCCTGCTTCTCCCTCTGCCTGTGTCTCTGCCTCTCTCTCTCTCTCTCTCTCTCTCTCTGTGACTATCATAAATAAATAAAAATTAAAAAAAAAAAAGGAACATCTGCTCACAGGTTTTGGGGACTGTCTTCTGCACTTCTTCCACGCCACCCTCGTGAAAAATTTTCAACAGCTGCTGAATAAGCAACATGGTGGGGGCAAAGAGCAAGGGACTGGGACACACAAGACAGGAGCTTCTAGTCCTAATTCAGCCACTAATTCATTAGCTGTGTGACCTCTAACAAGTTCCTTATGGTCAGACTACCAGATCGCCTAAGTCCTGCTGGGACTGTCCTGCTCTGACTGGCTAAACAGGGATGAGGTGGTAATTAGCCAAAAGCACATTGGGAGAAGCCAGGCTAAGCGGCAGCCCTTTGTTGCAGGTGTTTATGGGAAAGTAACTGTGAGATGACTCCTCTAGGGTCCCATGTTGAAAGAGGATCCCAACACTTTAGATGGAGGGAGTGAATGAGGCCATGGCAGCAGAGAAGGGGAGAGTCGCGTAGCCTAGCACCTCACCCTCCAGCAGTGCGATGCCTTTACGGATGTCGTCGTTGTACTTGCTGCGCACCAGGCACCAGGCATACTCAAACTGCGTGCTCTTGGACACGGAGCCTGCTGCCTTCTCAGATTGAAATTTCTTTTCAAACTTCTGCCATAGGAGAGGAGAGGAGTCATTTAGAAATGAAGAGGCACGCCATTCTCTACCAGGCCCTGCGTGTCCATTTCCCAGTCATACCCCATCTTCCACAGTCTCTGCCACATTTCCCTCGCGGATCTTGGCATCTGGCCTCCCAGGTTCTGCTAGCTTCATCCCTTGGACCCAGACCCAGGCATCCTGCTTCTTAGCGGCGGGCTGTCTCCTTGGACAGTACCCCCGTCCGTGTCCCTCCCCCTAGTGGTACCGAGCGGAAGGGCCACCTGGTGGCGGCTCCAGGCACCGCTCCGGAACCAGCTGACCGCGAGCGGCTAAACAGTAAACATGCTGTCAGAACTGCTCAACAACAGCCCACGCGATCCCTCGTCGGTGGCTGCTTCCCCCAACCAGCCCCCTGGTCGGGTCTGGACCTTTTCTTATCTGCAAAATGGGAATTAAATAGTGCCCACCTCCTAGAGCTACAAAAATCGAGATACGACCTGCAATGCATTTAGCACCGTGCCGTATTATATGAAACTTCAAGGTAGTCTCTATATTCTCCCGACACTAAAAGAATAGTGGGGTGGGGGGGGGAGAAGGTGTCCGCACTCTGACCTAACTCCTGCACGAGCCCAGAACCTGTCAGCTTTTCCACGCCAGACAAGCAGGCCCTGAGTCTGGGGCGTGGTGGCCCGGGAAACTACAACTCCCATTAAGGTACGGGACAAAGTAGAACCACTGGGCAGGGGCCGGGCGCTGCAGAGGATGCCGGGAGCCGTAGTTCGGCTTCTCTAGGCTAAACTGATGCTGGGTAGGGGGTCTGGCCCCAACCGGACTCTCCTCGGGACCCGCCCGTCCGAAGGTTCCCTTTCCCTCCCTCGGGGCCAGGCCTCACCAGCAGGTCGTCCACAGACACCAGCTCGTTCAGTACGGCCTCCATGGCCTCCGCCCCTGCAATCCTCACACCTAAGTCGCTACTGTGCCACCGTCTCCATGGCTTACTGGCAGGGCTGGAAAGCCACTTCCGTCGTCCGGCGGAAGTAGGCCCCCTCCCCAGCGCAGAGCCAATCACCTCACGCAGCTGATGCCAAGCCCGCCCACTGCCAGTGGCGCCCCGCCCCTTCCTCCCAGCGCCATCAGCGCACACCTTGGGGCACTAATGCGCACGCTCCGACCGGACCACCTTGTTCCCCCATCTGCCGACAGCTCGAAGTCCCACGTTTGTCCTCGCGGGTGCCGCGCGTGTGCCCTCCTCCACCGAGGCTGCCTTAATAGAGTTTGGGCCTATGTCTTGGTGGTTAGCCCTTGGGCTGGAAAAACAGCAGAAAAAGGATGGTGGAGAACCTGGCATGATCTTGAAGTTTGGGGGATCACTTCCCCTCCGGCCCCACCCCCTCTAAGTCTAGGAAATTGGAGGCTACGTTACATTTCGGTGCCTGTCACAAAACCATAACCTGGTACCAAGGTTTTTAGGGTCTCTGCTGACTTACGAGAGGATTGACAACTGGACCTGTAACCATACACCCAGAGACTGGAATACATATGAATAGGGGATACTATGGAAATCTTAAAATGTAAAAAAAAAAAAAAAAAAAAAAAAAAAAAAAAAAAAAAAAAAAAAAAAAAAAAAATCTTAAAATGTGAATTTAAAGAAAAGTTGTTACCCCATTACTTGCAGAGATGGTCCAATCTTTTAATACTTAGAGCATCCTTTGGGTGTGCCTGAGGGGAAAGATGTGCTGTGGGTCATGGGTAGGAACAATCAAAACATGGGAAAGGTAAATGTTCACTCCTCTGGCACCTGTGCTGTGTAGTGAGGGGACTGGGTAGGTAGTGACTTTCATTCTTTTCACCTTCACCCACAGTGCTCCAGGGCACAGTGTAAGTTCCATGAGGACAGAGTCTGGATCTTGTTTATCTTTGCATCCCTAGCACCTGGCACAAGATTGAGGTCCAATAAATATTTGTCAAATAGACATGAAATAAAGTGAACATAGTAAAGAGGGGGATGCAAATGCAGGGAATTGTGATCCAAACACCTTTCATGTTTGCAAAGCCCCTTTATTTATTTATGTATTTTAATTCTCTTAATAGCCTTGTGAGTTAGGTCAGCAAGGGATATTCTCTACTTAGCTCCAAATGAAATGACTTTGATATGGGGAGTCTGTTAAAGAATGAAGAGGAGAGGATAGGACAAGTTCCTAAGTACACTCTGCTATTCATCTTGAAAAAATTCAGGTGTAAATTTGTAAAATTTTGGTGGTATACAATAGAGGACTTCCCTTAAGCACCAGGGTAAACTAGGAACAACTCAGGTTAATTTGAAACCTAGAAGTAAAAGCAATCCTGAGAAACCATTTGTTTCAAGTACAGTAGGAAGATTAAAAATGAAACCCCACAAACTACCACCAATGCTGCTGAAATTGTAATACTGGTTTCATAGTCTTGGGTAGTGGCCAGTATTTTAAATTCACACTATTTGTCAGTTTGTAATTATACATTTGTGTGATAACTTGATGGATGACACCCTCTCATTTGAGACTAGAAGCTACATGAGAGTAGGGTCTATGTCTCTGTTGCTCCTATGATGCACTTAGGGCCCAGCTCAGGGCTCACCACCCGTAGATACTCAATTTGTAAATGTTGCATAAGTAAATATTTCTGTTGCCATCATTAACTCTGGAAAGCAATAAAGGAATATGTAGTAAGAGCTAAAAGATGTAATATTATCTGACTAGTAATCTATTCCTGTAGAAATATTCAACAAAAGCAAAAAAAAAAAAAAAAGAAAAAGGAAGGAAGGAAGGAAGGAAGGAAGGAAGGAAGGAAGGAAGGAAGGAAGGAAAAGCAAGACATGAAGACATTCATTCCTGCATTATCTCTGGAAGTAAACAAACAACAAAAGCACCAGGGAATGGTTTTATTAAATGAGGATACATCAATATAATGAAATAACAAACAGTCTTAAAGGCACAGTCATTTGGATTCTTTGCATGTGGATGATAATATTCAAAACAAAGCAAAAGCATCCACTTCTCAAATTTGGTCCTCTAAGTGGGCAGAAGGGAAACTGACATTTTTTGTTGCTGGGACTAAAAGTTAGAACTGGTACTTGTTAGCACATTCTGGGCCCTGGGCCCCTTCCTTGACTACACTGGTTGCAGGCCTGCTCTGGTCTTTTTGGCCTACAGCATCTTGGTGGGCAGCCCAAACACCCACTAAACAGGGCTCCACTATTTGTGTTCTAGTCTTTGGTGATCGCTTACCTCTACTTCCCACTCTCATTTGCTATCCAATCACTTAAGTCCTATCCACCCTGCACCCATTCATTCATTCATCCACCCAACAAACTAATATTCAGGGCCTACTGTGTGTCACGTACTCTTCTGAATGCTGGGCAAGAGAAATGAACTAAACAGACACAGTCCTTCTCTTATGCAAGTTACATCAACAGAAGAGACAAGATTGCTAACGGATAAATGAATGTCGGGCCACTACCACCTCCATTCTGTCACCATGCTTTTTCCTCCTCCTCTAACCCAGCCTGGCTGTGTTGTATTTTAAGGGTGCGAATCAGAGCTTGTATGTCCTGCTTAAAAACACTGTCTGGGCTACGCGGAACATTGTTTAAATGTCTTATCACGCACACGAAGCCCTTCGGGGTCGCCCCTGCTTACCTGCCCAGCTTCAACTCCAGGCACCCTCACGTCCTGCACGGCAAGACCTTTTCCTGGCAGCCACCTTTTCCGTTCTTCCACCCGGAACGCTCTCCATTCACCAAACACCGGGGCGCCTACGGGGCAGGCGGCTGCCAGCCCCGGGGCCGTTACCCTCCAGGACAGCCTTCCTCGATCCCGCGCCGCGCCTCGAGCCCCTCGGAGGTACAGAGTTCACCACCCAGGCCTGCAGTCCTTGGTGTGGACACGGACCGGGTTTACTCATCTCTCTGCCAAAGGCCCGGCGTCCAAGCATCGTTTGAGGCGTGAACGAAAGAGTAACGACAGGAGATCTCAGCATGACCCTAAGAACTGCGGAGAGGGTGCCCTTCCGGATAGCGGTTAAGTTGGCACCCGAGGAAGCGAGGAGTCGGTGTCTCCCCCCGGGGCTGCCCCAGGGAGAGGGCTCGGTGGGCCGAAGGACCCCGGGAACCGCCGGCGGGGGCCGGGGGGCGGCGGCGGGTAGGAGCGCGCCGCGAGGGCTTCTGCGCAGCCGCCTCCCGGGGAGGCGGGGCCGAGCGGAGCCCGGGGCGGGGGGACTCCGATGGCCAATTAACCGGTTGGGCTCCCGGTGAGGGGCGGGGCGGGCGGCGGCGAGGCCGGGGAGTCTCGAACCTCCCCCCCCCCGTCGCCCCTGTGACCCCGGGGTGACCGAGGTGCTTGCTCCCTGCTCACCCAGAGACGCCCTCTGTAAGTTAAAAGTTACGTGTTGTCCCCTTTAGGGTCTGTCTCGGTACAGAAGTGTGTGATGGGTGCACAGGAATCACCTGGAATCGCTAAACGTACAGTCTGATAGAGCTAGGGTGAAGCTGGAGATGTTTCATTTCTAAGAAGCTCCCAGAGGATGCTGCAGCTGTGCATTCTCTAAGATGCTTTCAGAAGTAAAGGTGTGAAACTGGTTCTCAAAGTGCAGTCCCAGGAACAGCGGCATAGACATCACCTGGGAATTGTTTAGAAATGCAGATTATTGGGGCCGCTTGGGGGGCTCAGTGATTGAGCATGTGCCTTTGGCTCAGGTCGTGATCCTAGGGTCCTGGATCCATTCCCATATGGGGTTCCCCAGCGGGGAGCCTGCCTATTGCCTATGTCTCTGCCTGTGTCTCTCATGAATAAATTTTTAAAATCTTAAAAAAAATTTCAGATTATTGGAGCCCTCTCCTACGCCTGCTGAATCAGGAAATCTGCTGGTGGGGTGGCAGTCGGTGTTTTTGCCAACCCCTGTGGATAATTTTGATGTACGCTGGAATTTGGGGACCAGTGGATAGTGGAAAAATAAAACAGCCTCCACTGTCTATAGACTTGTGACCATGGTCAGTTTGTCTTAATCTAGTGAAACTTCAGTTTCTTCAACTGAAAAATCAGGGTAAAAATATGCCTTCCTAATGAGGGAATGTGAGATGATGAAAGTAAAGAAGCTGGCAACCTAATAACCACCATCCTATGAAAAGGTAAACTGTCATTACCATTCAAACAGACTGCCAAAGGCCAATTTGAAAAGGGATTACCCATCTGGCCTGAGGTGCTAGGAAAGTCTTCAGGGAAGAAATGTGAGTTGACATTCCAACCAGGATTCTAAAGTATAGAAATGCAAGTGGAGAAGGTGAGAAAAGGCATTCTAGGAACACAGAACATCCTAGGTAGTCTTGAGAAAGGGCCAGGTGGGGGAGGGACAGTGTTGTGGGAGGACTAGAGGACAGGTGGCTGCAGAAGAAATCAGAGACCTTGTGTGCCACACAGTGATGCTTATACTTCAGTTTTTTAGGCAGAGAAAATGCTCTTATGAGAAGGACATCTGCCATATTTATTAGAATGGCATATCTTGCAACAGTAGTGGGGAGGTTGTTCTGGGGAGCAGAGAGATGAGTTTGAAAGAGATGGTCATAGGTCAGGCTAGAATCAACAAAGACTTAGGCTAATGCACTATCAGTGAAAGTAATGAGAAGACACAAGAGGGAGGAAATGTTTCTCTGATAAAATGGACAGAACTTGGCAGTCAAAACGGAAATGGAAGACAAGAGAATGAGAGGACTCCGTGACTACTTACTAGGTTTCTAGCTTGCTGAACCGTTAGAGAAGGGTGAACTGTTCTCTAAATATGTAGAAGGAAGAATACCTAGATAGAGATTGTACAAATAGAAGCCAGAACTCCAGGAACCAGAAAACCTTTCAGAAGTAGGTAGAAGAGGGGGGCTGCATGGCTCAGTCAGTTGAGTGTCTGCCTTTGGCTCAGTCCTGGGAGTGAGTCCCACACTGGGCTCCTTGCTCAGTGGGGAGCCTGCTTCTTCCTCTCCCTCTGTCTGCTGCTCCCCCTCCTTGTGCTCTC